CCAAAAAAATTATATGTAGGCATATCATATTCCAACTGCAGAAAACCAAAGACAAAGAGAAAATCTTAAAAGAAGTTTCATGTCTTCTCAGAAATCAGGAGAAGAAAAAGAGAATTAAGTGAAAATATTTAAAGTATTGGAAGAAGAAAAAACCCAAACCTATAATTTTATATGCAGCAAAATTATTTCTCAAAAAGAAAAATAAAGACTTTCTCAGACAAACAAAACTGAGGGAGTTTGTTGCTGTGAGACTTGCCTGGTAAGAAACGTTATAAGAAATTCTTCAAAGAAGGAAAATTATATAGGTCAGAAAGTTAGATTCATATAGCAAAAGACTGCATGTGAGGATGATATGGCTGTGACATATAGCAAGAGATTGTTAGAGAAGGGATAAATGAAGGTAAAATAAATTTTTTCTTATTCTTAATTGATTAAATAGATAACTGTTCAAGGTAATAATGATAACATATGAGGTGATTATAGTATATGGATAAGTGAAATGAATGACAGCAGTGTTACAAGAGATGGAAGGGGTGAATTGGAAATACTCTAAGGTAACGAATCACCTGTGAAGCAGTATAGTGTTGTTTAAAAGTGGACTTAGATTAGTTGTAAATTGCAAACTTTAGGCAACCACTAAAATTTTTTTTAAAAAGTATCTGGTATTCTAATAGAAGAGAAAAAATGGAATCATAAAATGCTCTATGAAAACCAGAGAAGGCAAGAAGAGAGGGAAGATGAAAAACAAGAAACAAAATATAAATAATAGAAAAAAGATATGAATGTAGTTGATATTAACCCAACTATCAATAATCACATTAAATGTGAATGGTCTAAATTACAAGACAGAGTGACAGAGTGGATAAAAAACAAGACCCAACTATATCTTGTCCACAAGAAACTCACTAAAAGACACAGATAGATTAAAATTAAAGGAATGGAGAAAGATATATCATGCTAACACTAATACAAAAAAAAAAGCTGTAGTAGGTATATTAATCTGAGAGAGAACAAAGTAAATTATCAGGAATAAAGAGGTATTACATAATGATAAAAGGGACAATTTTTTAGAAAGACATAATAATTCTCAATGAGTATGTACCCAAAAAAAGAGTGACAAATTCATCAGGAATGAACTGATAATGCAAGAAGAAATACACAGAACTACTATTAGAGATAGAGACTATACACACCTCTCTATTAGTAATTGGTAGATCCAATAGGCAGAAAATCAGTAACGATATAGTTGAAGTAAACACCATCAATCAACTAAAACGATCTAATTGACATTTACAAACTACTTCATCCCAAGAGCAATAAAATACAACATCTGGGGCCATAACATATATGTTAGCTAATTTAAAAGAACAGAAATTAAAATGTGCTTTCAGATCACAATGGAATTAAATTTAGAAAATATGTGGAGATTAAACAGCGTACTTCTATTAACAAACAGGTCAGAGAAGTACCAAGAGAAATCTTTAAAGTATTTTGAACTACTGAAAATAAAAATATAATTAAATAATGTATAATTAATTTAATAAATGTATAATTTATCCAAATGTGTAATGGAGGGAAAGCAGTGCTTAGAAGAAAATGCATAGCACTGAAAGCAATATTAGGAAAGAGGAAAGATCTAAAATCAATAATCTAGGCTTCAACCTTAGGAAACTAGAGAAAGAAGGGCTCTATAAACGTAAAGCAAAATAAAGGAAATACAGTATCCCCTCCCTTATCTGCAGGGTTCTACAGGGGATATGTTCCAATACCCACAGTGGATGCCTGAAACAGCAGGTAGTACTGAACCCAACCTATCTCAACTGGAACACATTTTTGTTCATGTCTTCCACCCACAAACTTTAATGCCTTTTCTGTCTTAACTAAGTACTTACCAGACACTGTAGCTTTAAAATCTTTTGCAGTTTGAGGTGCGACAGCCAGCCAAACTAGAACAAATTTCTTTTTCCTTCTTCAAATTTCAAGAACATAAGATTTATTCTCACCATAGATCTTACCAACATCAGCTTACAATTTTTTTCTTTCCTTATTCAGATAAGAACTTTCACCTTTTCATTTAAAAGAAGTTCTTTACAGCTTGGTTTCTCTTTGGGACATCCGAATTGCTAGCATCACCACTCTTGCACTTTGGGGCCATTATTAAGTAAAATAAGGGTTACTTGAATATAAGCACTGTGATGCCAACAACAGTCAATCTGATAACCAATAGGGCTACTAAATAATTAACAAGTGGTAGTAATTACAGGTTACTTATGGAGGTACTGGATGAAGGGATGATTCACATCCTGGATGGGACAGAGAGGGACAGGAGATTTCATCAAGATACTCAGAACTGTACGCAACTTAACACTTGTGAATTCTTTATGTCTGGATTTTTCCATTTAATTTTTTTGGACCTTGGTTGACCATGGGTAACTAAAACCTCACAACATGAAACCACAGGATAAAAGAGGGACTACTATAATAAAAACTACAGCACAAATCAATGAAATGGAAAACAGAAAACCAATATACAAAAATCAATAACATCAGGAGCTGGTTCTTTGAAAAGGTCAGTAAGATTGATAAACCTCTAGCCAGGCTAACCAAGAAAAACAGAGAGAAGACACAAATTAGTAACATCATAAATGAAAAGGTAGTAAGTGACTATTATGAGCAACTCTATGCCCATAAATATAACTCAGATGAAATGTACCGATCCTTTAAGACATAAGCTACCAAAACACACACAAGGAGAAATATCTGACTAGGCCTGTATCTCTTAAAGAAACTGAATCAATAATCAGTAACCTTCCAAAACAGGGAGCACAAAGCCCAAATGGCTTCATTGGCAAATTTTGCCAAACATTTAAGGAAGAAATTTTAATAATTCACTATAATCTCTCCTAGAAAATAAAAGCAGAGGGAACACTTCTTTACTTATTCTGAGGCCAGGGTTGTCCTAATGCCAAAACTAGATAAAAACATCACAAGAAGGAATGGTTGGCAATTTCTCAGAAAGCAAAACAAAGTATCCTGTACGTCCTTATCCAACTGAGTTGAAAACTTATGTCCACATCAAAACTTTCCCAAGTATATTTATAGAGATTTATTCATAATAACCAAAAACAGGGAGCAAAAAAGATGACCCTCTATAGATGAATGGATAAACAATGGTATATCCACACAATGGAACATTATTCATCAATAAAAAGCAATCAGCTATTAAGCCATAAAAAGATAAGGAGGAATCTTAAATACATAATGCTTGGTGAAAGAAGTCAGTCTGAAAAAACTGCATATGGTATGATTTCTATTACATGACGTTCTGGAAAAAACAAAACTATAGAGATGGTAAAAAGAGTGGTTGCCAAGGGTTGAGAGGAGATGGGGAAGAAATAAAAAGATGAAGCATACGATATTTTTAGGTTAGACAAACTATTATGTATGATACTATAATGGCTGATACCTGACATTATGTATTTATGAAAGTACACACAACTGTATAACACAAAGAGTGAAACAATATAAACCATGGACTTTAGCTAATCAATATTGGTTCCTTAACTGTAACAAGTACACTATACTGATGTAATGTTAATAACAGGGGAATTTATCAGAGACAGGAGGTGCATATGAGAGCTCTTTACTGTCTGCTCAATGTTTCTGTATATGTAAAGCTGCTATAAAAGACAAACTCTATTAGTTACAAAAGAAAAAGAAAGCAAGGTGCTCATAATAATAGCAAACAGTAAAAACCAAGCAATTATCCAGGTAAGAAACAAAGAACAGAGAATAATCAAGGAGTATTTCCAGAAATAAAGAGGGATCTAACACAATGAAAAACTGGTCAATTACTTAAGAAGGCTTTATAATCCTAAATGTGCATACACCTAATAATAATAGAGCTACAAAAGAAAAAACTGTCACAACTAAAAGGAGAAATAATAAACTTCAGAGTCATTATTGCATATTTTAATACTGTTTTCTCAGTAATTGCTAAAACAAGAGAGCAGGATATCACTGAAAAATTAATACTATCAACTAATTTGGACTAATGGACATTCAATAAACACCATGTCTATGAGCAGAAGATTGTACATTCTTTTCAAAATGCTCATGTAATAAGATAGCCTAGGGGTGGACAAAAACCAAGTTTAATAAATTTAAAAGGTTCAAAATACAAAGAAAATATTCTCTAATCACAATAGAATTAAAATATGAAACAATAAGAATTTCTAAAAATACACCAATATTTGGAAAAGTAAAAAGCACATTTCAAAGTAAACCTTGGGTGAAAGAAGAAATCACCAGAGAAATTAGAATATATTTTAAATTGATTGAAAATTACAACACACTGCATCCAAATTTTGAATCAGCAAAAGCAGTGCTGAGTGGTTAATTTATAGTTTAAATGCTATATAGAAAGAGCAGAAAGACCTAAATATATAATCTAAGTTTATACCTTAAAAAGCTAGAAAAAGGACAATTTAATATCTAAGTAGATGGAAAGAAATAAAGAGCTGAAATTAATGAACTGGAAAAGAAACAAACAACAGAGAAAAACCAATAAAGCCAAAGCTAATATGTTGAAAAGATGAATAAAACTGATAAACATTTATCAGAACTGGGCAAGAGAAAAAAAGACGATACAAAATTATCAATATCAGGAATGAAATATGGCAAATTATCTATAAATCCTATAAATATTAAAGATAAAGAAATATTATAACTAACTATATTCTAATAAATTTGACAACTAGAAAAAAATGTAAAATGTCTTAAAAGCCACAATTTACCAAGGCTTATTCAAGAAAAAAAAATTCTTAAATAGCCCTATATCTACTAAATTTAACTCACAGTAAACAACCTTCACCCTTACACACACATGCACACACAAAATTTCAAATGAAAAACAATATCCAAGGCTGAATGGCTTTATCAGTGAATTCTAAATAACGTATATGGAAGGAATAATATAAATATTATACCAATTATTTCAGAAAGAAGAGGATGAAGGAACATTTCCCAATTTCTGTTATGAGGCCAGCATAACCAAAACAAGACATTGTAAGATGGGACAGAGAGGGACAGGAGATTTCATCAAGATACTCAGAACTGTACGTAACTTAACACTTATGAATTCTTTATGTCTGGATTTTTCCATTTAACCAAAATCCCTGATGAATATATTCTCAACAAATCCTAAACAAATATTATTACCATATTGAATCCATAATATAATAACAAGGATACTGCATCAGGACAAGGTGGGATTTATCCCAGGAATGTAAGGTAAGTTTAACATCAGTCAATCTAATCCACCATTTGAACAGACTAAAGGTAAAAACATACAATAATCTTAATAGATGCAGAAAAGAAATCGGAGAAAATTCAATACCCATTCATGATTTTTAAAAAGTTATCTGCAGGGCCGGGCGCTGTGGCTCACGCCTGTAATCCTAGCTCTTGGGAGGCCGAGGCGGGCGGATTGCTCAAGGTCAGGAGTTCAAAACCAGCCTGAGCAAGAGCAAGACCCCGTCTCTACTATAAATAGAAAGAAATTAATTGGCCAACTGATATATATATATAAAAAAAATTAGCCGGGCATGGTGGCGCATGCCTGTAGTCCCAGCTACCCGGGAGGCTGAGGCAGAAGGATCACTCGAGCCCAGGAGATTGAGGTTGCTGCGAGCTAGGCTGACGCCACGGCACTCACTCTAGCCCGGGCAACAAAGTGAGACTGTCTCAAAAAAAAAAAAAAAAAAAAAAAAAGTTATCTGCAAACTAGAAATTGAAAGGAATCTTTCAACTTGGTAGTGACAACAATGAACATCAAAAAGGTGAAACAAAAAGCCTTACATCAAAAAGGTAAAAAGCTGAACAATTTTACACTTTGCTTCAAAAATGAAGCAAAGACATCCAACTTCTTTAATAATCTTGATTCAGCATTGTATTAGACGCACTAGCCAATGTAATAATAATAATATAATTAATAAGTTAATGTCATACAGATTGGCAAGGAAGAAGTAAAATTTGTGTTTATTTCCACACAACATGACTATGGTTATGTATGCAAAATATCCTAAGTAATTTCCAAAATCTTATTAGAACTAACACCTAAATTTAGCAGGGTAACACTAAACTAGACCAGATGTACAAAAAAAGACTATTTTATTTCTAAATACTAGCAATGAATAATTGGAAATTTTATAAAACTGAATTTTCATATATTAACAAAGCAATAAATATGTAGTACATGTCTTCTCAATTTACCCAAAATAAAAGAAATAAGAAAAACTCTAAAATGCAATCTTATAGAAGGTATTGTGACAACTGCCTAAAAACAACACATTGCTGAAGGCACAACCAGTTAATTGTTGGTGGATTAAAAATACATTTAATTGGTATGAATTTGATTTTGATCAAATTCAAATATTAGTTCAAGTCAAACTAAATATAATCTGTTACATGATTATATTAAGCACGTACTAGTTATAAGGAAATACAGTTCAAAATCTCTCATCTACAACTCAAAAATCCAAAAAAACTGTAAAATCCAGTCTTTTGTTTCCAAATTATTAATTCAGTAATGATGTTTTACCCGATTTCAATTCACATAGTGACAAAAAAGCTGTTCTAAATAGAATGAGGCTATCATAATAACTCATCATATCATTTAAGTTCAAATATTCCCACGTTTGACTTAAAATATAATAAGGGATGCTTGATCCAGACCCCACTGAAGGTTAAATAAGTAAATATAAACATATATGCTGGTATTCCTGATAAAGCTGTGGCAAAGGGCCTCGGAAATTCCCATTCTGACAGGTTACAATCGCCACGTGTGCATGTGTTACCATGTTAAAACTTTTTTTTCAAACTTAGTCATGCTGTTTTACAGTTAAAATATCTATAATCTGGAAATACTGTTAATCCAAAACAGGTCTGGTCTAGGACAGTCTAGATAAAAAATCTGCAATTCCTTTTCCAAATAGTCAGGAAAGAAACTACATGAACATATTGAAACATTGTAATAAAATAATACAATAGTAACATAATACATCTTTGGCTGTTTATTGTGCCGACTCATTCATTCATTCATGTATTCATTCCTTAAATATTTGTTGAGTACAACTTTATAAAAGACACTGGCAATGGAATGAATATAAAGGTGAGTTAGACATAGATATTACACCCCATAAAAGAAAGAGAACACTGGCTTTAAAACAAGTGGGAATGTTATTTTCAAAAACAGCAATAAGAAGAAAGGTACAAATAAAATATAGTTTAGGTAGAAAATGACTTGTTACTTACCATTTGGGTGACCTGGAAACAATTTTGTGAGAACTGAATAGTTTGTATGTTAACTTAGACTATGTGAAACAATAGAGTTTAGACTTACAAGGATGGGGAGTTGAGGTAAAGTCTATCAGACACAGAGAACAGGATGAATAGATACACTCATGGGCAATGCACAGAGTTAAGAGGTTATGTGCAAAGTGCACACACACCATTATTACATCAAACTTTAGGTCTCAGATTTAAGATTTAAAAGGGGTATTCTTACATTTCCAAAAAATCTAAATCTAAAATTGGGCCATATTGTGACCATTCGACACTACTGAAGATAACTGCTTATGCTACAGATACACTTGATAAAGAATTAAGTTAATCTCTTTTTTCATTTTTTAAAAATAAAAATAATTTTAAATTTTAAGAATTTAACTTAATGGAAAATATGTTTCCTGCTATCCTCAGCCTTCCCTACCCTGCTTGCCATCTATAAAATTCTTTACATTTTTTGTTTCCTCATTAAATCTTCAGCTATAGTTTTGTATAACTTTTATTTTCTCCAAGTAGCTACTAGTATTTATTTTCTCCTCTGTATCTACTACCAACAGTCTGACATATAATAATATGCCTTAAATTTTAAGGTTTACCATAATGATTTTAGAAGAAAACTTGACTAATTCCATGATCCAACTCATATCTAAACATACATAGTTTAATATAATAAAATGGTAGAGAGGTATGTCTATTTTTTTGGTAGCAGTTTTATGCTACGAAAATTCACTTATCACATAATTCACCCAATGAACATGTACAATTCAATGGTTTTTAGTACACTCAAGAGTTGAGCAACCATCAACTCAATCTCAGAACATTTTTATCACTCCACAAGGGAACCCTATACCTTTTTTAGCAGTCACTAGTCATTTCTCCCCAAACCTCCAACCCTAGATAACCACTATTGAGCTTTCTGTATCTATAGACTTGCCTATTCTATATAAATGGAATCATATAATATGTGGTCTTTACTAACTGGCTTTTTAAAAATTTAACACAATGTTTTCAAAGTTCATCCATGTTGTAGCGTGAATAAGTACTTCATTCTCTTTTTTTTTTTTTTTGGCTGAATATTTCATTGTATGGATATATCACATTATACTTAAACAGTCATCAGTAGATGGACATTTGTGTTGTTTCTATCTTTTGGCTATTATGAATAATGATGCTATGAACATTCATGTATAGGTTTTTGTGTACATATATATTTGAATATTTTTTGTAGCATATACCTAGGGATGGACTTGCTGAATTACATGGTAACCCTACATTTAACCTGTGAGCAACTGCCAGTCTCTTTTCCAAACATCACTTGACATTCACACCACCTGCACAGGAGAGTTCCAATTTCTCCACATCCTAACCAACATTTAGTACTGTCTTTTCGACTGTAGTCTTCGTAGTAGGTGTGAAATAGCATCTCATTGTGGTTTTGATTTGCATTTCTCTGATGGTTAATATTTTCATGTGTTTATTTGCCATTGACAATGTGTAAAGATACAAATGATTTTTATATTGATCTTGTACCCTGAATCACTGTTGAACTTATCAGCTGTAATAATTTTTACTGTATTCCTCAGGATCATCTCTATATAACGGAGGATCAAGTCATCTCCAAATAGAGACAGTTTACTTCTTCCTTTCCAATGTGGATGTCTTTAATTGTTTTTTTTTTTCTTGCCTATCACACTGGCTAGAACCTCCATGCAATGTTAAATACAAGTGGAGAGAGCCCGTAACCTTCTCTTTTCTTACCCTGGAATGAAAACACCCAGTCTTTCACTATTAAGTATGATGTTAGCTGTGAGTTTTTCATAGATGCCCTTTTTCAGGTTAAGGAAGTTCTAGTCCTAGTTTGTTGACTATTATCAGGAATGGGTATTAGATTTTTTTCTAATGTCTAATTTTTTCTGCATCTACTGAGATGATTATGTCATTTTTTTGGTCAGTTCTACAGATATGCTGTATTACATTAGTCAAATTTGTAAGTGAAACCCACCCTGAATTTCAGATAAATCTGAGATAAATCCCACTTGATCATAGTGTATAATCCTTTTTATATGTTGCTTGATTCAGTCTTAGGATTTTTGCATTATTCAAAAGAGACATTGGTATGTAGTCTTTTCTAAGAATGTCTTTGCCTGGTTCTTGATATTTGAAATTACATGTTCAACCTAAAATCTTAAACTGGCAGATGTCCAGAAAACTGCTATAAGTCTAAGGAGTTTGCATATAGGACTGATACCATATACATTCATAACCTTCATCCCCCCAAAATGTAATTTTGATAAGGTTATTGTTGGGAATAATAAGTATGCATAAAAATTATTAGTGAGATTTTATTTATATGTCAACATTCAATATATATGCCCAAAGCTTATACTTTAGGGGTAAATACAATAGACATATCAATTATGAGAGGTAACATACAGAATACTAAACAGCAAGAATTGGAAACTAAAATAATCTAAAAATATTCTTAAAATTTTTAATGCTTTCTCAGTTCCACTATTTACATTAAGAGAGGCAGAATGCTTCCAACGTTTTTAAAACTTATTTTTAGAGAAGCAGAGTTTTAGATTAACTTTGTAAAAATATAAAAATAGCTATAGATAATACATTTTGCAATGCTTTAATTACATCATGAGAAAATACTACAATAAATCTGGAAGTATATATTTTTAAAAAATAAAAATCAGAGAGCCTTTTAATGGCAAAAATATGTTCAATAAAACAAATTCATGGGGGGAAATCATTAATTTTAATGTAA